AAAAAAAAAAAAAAAAAAATTGACCCACTTTTGGACCCAACCGGAATTCCGGTTGGACCACCGGGGGTCCAACCGGCCGGTTGCCGGCACAGCCACGATACAAATGGAGATGCATTGATCCATGCTCTAGCTGAACATTCATTTTGCATATTTGGTGAGTGAGGGATACGATGGAAAGGTGCATTGGCAATTACAAATGGAGGCTTATCTTTCCATAGCTAACGTATTTGGTGAGGGAGGGATCCGATGGAAAGGTGCATTGGCCATTACAAATGGAGGCGTATCTTTCCATGTTCTAGCTGAACATTCATTTTGCATATTTGGTGAGTGAGGGATTGGATGGAAAGGTACATTGGCCATTGCCTGTGCTGAATCCGTCCGAATTACGGCCTCGCTCCACTACTCACCACATGCACAAAAGACAAAAGAAATGCCGGTGTATCTTTCCACGTTCTAGCGGAAGATTCATTGTCATTTTGCACATTTGGTGCGTAGTCTAGCGAGGACGTTGTACTCGCATAAGCGGTTAACAGGGACCCCCACTTTTCAGCCCTTGTCAACCTCCTCAACCCTGGTCTGTGTGTGCCAAGTTTGGTGTTTGTTGGGGTCTTGGAGTCTGCTGTTTTGGCTAGCCCTGAAAATTCCTGAAAATCCTGAAAACTGAAAACAGTGAATTTTGCATGAAAACACACTTTTGCCTTGCTGTTTTATAGGTTTTTTAAGTTTTTTTTTCAAGTTTTTTTTGTAAGTAGTTAGTATGATCCATTTTCTGAATTGGTGGCAAGTTTGGTTAATATGACCCTTGGGTTTTGTTATAAATGGCCGGAGAAGTGGTCTGAAAATTGAGGCCTCCGTTAACCGTCGCTCGAGAGAAGTGGAGCGGTGGCCATAGACACAGAAATTTAAGAAGGAAAACGCATACCTGGCAGTCAATCCTCGACAGCACAGTGCTATAAGTAACTGTTCAGGGATTCCGTTGGCTGTGTCAAAGGAAAGTGTTTTTTTCCTTTTCTTTTCTTTTCTTTTTTTGGTGGCTCGGTGGACCATGGACCAGATTTTAAAAAGGTAATGCATTTTAACAGCGGTAACATCTAAGGTTCACCAGTTGAAAAAGCAGTCAATCCTCCACAGCACAGTGCTATAAGTAACTGTTCAGGGATTCCTTTGGCTGTATCAAAGGAAAGTGTTTTTTTCTTTTCTTTTCTTTTTTTGGTGGCCCGGTGGACCATGGACCAGATTTTAAACTGATCAACAGATACTACATTTGATCTTAGCCAAAAGGCCGAGAAAGGTAAGATTAAAGTGTGCATTTTAACAGTGGTAACATCTAAGGTTTACCAGTCGAAAAAAACTGGACTGACATTTGGCAGAATAGAATGGACCAAGGGACAGAAAGTCCTGTTCAAAAAAAGAAAAAAAGAAAAGAAAGCAAGCAAAGAAGACCCCCTGTCGTCTGGACCAGATCCTGGACGTTCAGATAAAGTCCAGACCGTGTGGTTTCTTCTGTGAGGATGGTTTGATGTCCGGGTATGTCTGCGATAGCCATGGTCACGGATCCTTTGGACAATCGGTACTGTCTTCTCTAGACCTGTGTAAGCTCTTATATTGACTTGAGGTTCACTTTCTGCTACTGTCTTCTCTAGACCTGTTTAAGCTCTTATATTGACTCTGAGGTTCACTTTTTGCCTGCACTTCTGCAGATATGAATCAAATACAGATGCAGGCAACATAACTGGAGGCAGCACTATTGGAATCAATGCAAGCAACGTCGTGAATGTGAACTTGGCCTGTGCTGGAGTGAATACATTGATTAATGCATATGCTGCTCTGCTGAAGAATGCCAAGCTTGAAGAAATTGCCAAGAAGCAATTGTCCAGGGTATGTGTTAATTGGATACCTTTCAAAGTTCAAAGCACTCTTGACTTTTCCAGTCTAGCCTATTTTCCCCGTTCATTTACAGGCCTCGCTAGAGGCCCATGTTCGCAAAACTGTTTGTGATTTACCTTTTCAAAACTACGCAAACATCAGTCAAAACCAGTGTTGCATTCTGGGTACTTAGGCAGGCGCACCGCTGTTCATAGGCAAGTTGCAGCATGCCCAAGGTGTCTTGCAGGGGGGCCCTAGGGACCTGACCATGGTCCCGAGGCCCCTAGGCCGCGCAACTGTTCTTTTGAGCGGCCTGAGGGTTTGTTTTTGTGCCAAGAGCAGGGTTGCATACCTGCCGACCGCCGACCGTATTGCTGCCGACCAGTAGGGCCGACCAGTCGGCGGTCTGCCGACCAATCAGATAACAACCATCCACTGATTTTTTTTCAAATCTGAGTTGGGGGCTGCACTGCGCTTGCTGAGTACAGCCCAAATCCGCTGAGCCTATTTTCCCCGTTCATTTACAGGCCTCGCTAGAGGCCCACGTTTCGCAAAAACTGTTTGTGATTTAGCTTTTCAAAACACCAGTCAAAACCAGTGTTGCATTCTGGGTACTTAGGCAGGCGCACGGCTGTTCATAGGCAAGTTGTAGCATGCCCAAGGTGTCTTGCAGGGGGGCCCTAGGGACCTGACCATGGTCCTGAGGCCCGTAGGCCGCGCAACTGTTCTTTTGAGCGGCCTGAGGGTTTGTTTTTGGGCCAAGAGCAGGGTTGCATACCTGCCGACCGCCGACCGTATTGCAGCCGACCAGTAGGGCCGACCAGTCGGCGGTCTGCCGACCAGTCAGAAAACAAACATCCACTGATTCTTTTTCAAATCTGAGTTGGGGGTTGCACTGCGCTTGCTGAGTACAGCCCAAATCCGCTGAGAAACTTTTCGGTATGGGGGGGGGG